CCTTGGACCTGAGCACTTCCACCCACATGTATCCAATCGCGTCATCAACAATGAGGAGGAAGTACTTGTTAGTTGTTACTTGCTGATGTCGCCGGGCCGGGGTGATCGGTCCGCACAGGTCTCCGTGTGTGAGCTTCAGCCGCTCCTTCGCGCGGTAATCCATGGCGCACAGGAACGGCGCCCGGTGCTGCTTCCCAAGGGAGCACCACTCGGTAAACTGCTCGATGCGATCGACAGCAGGGATGTCGACGGCCATGGCCTTGGCGGCGAGGTTGTGCAGGCCGCGCAAGTGCAGATGCTTGTAGCGGATGTTCCAAAGCCATGCCGTGTCCCCTATTTGCAGCAGCAGACCGACGACTCTGACAGGATGAGGAAGACGGAGTAGAGGCGGTTGGGCATCCGCCTCACACGCGTGCACCATCTGATGGTCTTAGAGGCTCTTGACATCCTCTCCGACCACCGTCTTCACGCTGATCTTATACAGCTGGCCGATGCTGGACTGCTGGTAGTGTTGCTTCGGAGCCGCGGTATGCAGTATACCTCAGTCAGCACCATGTGCTCGTCGTTCTTGCCGACGAAGAACAGAACAAATCTGCGCCCCTGAATCTCAAGGACAGAGCCATCGCCAATTTCACCATATATACCTTTCACATGCTCGTCAAGGGTGGTGAACATTGACCGCAATCCTGTCATGTGATTGCTAGCGCCGGTGTCCAGGTACGACCGATCGTTAACGGACGACACAGGGATGAGGCGCTCCTCATTCAGGAACACTCTCGCTCCTCTACGATAAGAATCACTGCCATGGCAATAGATATCGCCGCCATTTCAACTGTTCATGCCACTGGGATCGCTGCTAACGTAGCCGCCTCATAGCTCAGGTCCGTCGTAACAGTGATATCGCCAGCCATCGCCAGCAGCAGCCTTGCACGGCTTGCGGCCTTCCCTGGCCATAGTGGCCCTCAATCCCGCAACTGTGGCACTCGCCCGCACAGCGCTGCGGCTTGCCACGACCTCCAACCGTCGTCGTCATTCCCACCGCTACCTTGCCTTCGAGCGTGCAGTTGCGCGAGTTCGCATTGGTCTTTCTGTCCAGCCTCTTGCCACCACCGGAAGACCTTGGCACGCCTTCCACTCATCTTCGGTAAGGAGCAAGAGAGCGCCACCAGCGCACTTGCCACCCTGGGCAAAGCGCTCCACGTTCATGAGTAGACGCCCCGTGATCTCCTCGATGGAGAGGGTTCTCCTCTCCTCAGGTCCACGAGTGTCTCCATGGAGATGGCCACCTGTGTCTGTGTGTATCTCGGTGGCACAACACGCGCTCGTCCAAGATCTCATCCGTGAGCAACCACAGATAAGTGACGGGCCCAGAAAGTCGCAATGTGAAATCCTCGATGACTCACCATCATTGAACTCAAGGGTTCTCGATGTCCCGATGTAGCTTTTGCGCCTTGGCCTCCCGAACGCGCTCGGCGAGCGCCCACACACATATCACGTGCACATCGTTCCATGCGTCCTTGGCATTGTCATTGTCCATGGCATTGTTCCGATTATGTACGCCAGCTCATTCTCTAGATGCTCATTTGGACTTACTTTTATTTTTATTTGAGAACATCAGCATATTCAAGTTTTATTGACAACAAATATACTACTATAAATCTCACGGCAAGTTAGTATAAAGTTGAGTCATCTATTTTGGAACGGGGGGAGACCAATGCAACCAACCGCCGCAACGCATGTGGAAAGCGCGGGTTGGCTTGCGTCCACGTGAGATGAGGACTTGGTGAGAAGGGAAGGGTTGAGAAGGTGCATCAATGAGGTGATGGGTGGGGACGAGTACAAGAGGAATGTTTTTTTTAAGTGGACGTAGGAGCCAGAAGGCCAAACAGGATATGCAAGAACAAGGGAGCTTTGACAAGAACATTGCAGGATGTGCGTCCCCTCGCGTCGCTCCCCCCGCGAGTGACCGAGGGGCAACCCTAGCCGCCGGCGCCTCAGCCCCCCGCCCCTCTTCTCCCCTCGCCACCGCCGGTCCGCGCAGCCGGGCAAAGCCCGGTAGGTGCTGGCAGCGGCGGGGCCCATCTTCTCCTCGCTCGAGGGCTCGGCGCGGGCATGCGTCCTCGGGCGGCGGCGGCGCGTTCATCCGGGGCATGGTGGCGTGTGGGTAGGTCTGGCGGCGGTGTGCCTCGTCCTGCGTGTGGAGGGCCGGACATGGTGGGGGCTACGGGATCACCCGGAGGCGACATGGGCGACTCCAGTGTTAGATACATGAGCAGCAGGTAGGGCGGCGTCCCTTGCCTGTGCGGCGGCGGCCAGATCTATGGTCGGCATGGTGCTCTTCCCCTCGGTGGAGTCTATGCCTAGAGATGGGTGGACGGAAGCCACGGGTCTGGCGTCCCGTCCAGATCCGCCCCGGCGTGGCAACCGGTGGCGCGTGGAGGAC